TTTTTAACTTTAAAAATGATTTAATTTGATTTGAATAAAGTAGAGTTATTGAGATATTGGCAAAAGTAATATCATATATAGTGAATTTAATTAAATATCGATAGCACTGATTTATAATGAAGACATTTTGAATATTTTAGAAGTTAAAAAAATTCGATTGATATTCTATAAAATATTATTCAATTATTCTGAGTCTCATCAAACTTCAAAATTTCACATTCTGATTGATCAGAACATACATGAAATTAGATTGTAAATAATGATATGATGTCAATTAATTGAAGGCTCCTACATTTGAACTTTTTCATACAGACACTCACCGAATTGTATCTTCAATACAATCAGATTACACACAATGGTGTGCAGCATCTCGCGAAAGTACTAAAAACCAACAACGTGATATTTATTTATTTTTCTACATATTTTTTCTTATACTCGATTTTTCTTATCTTCCATAAACACTGCAAGATTTATATCTCTCAAGAAACAATAACATCTCCTCTTATATAAAATATGAATTGAAAAAACAAGATTGTCAACTGCAATTTTGAATGACTGATTGTGTACTTTTTTTCTCTCGATGAAATAAAATGAAATTTAATTGTTTGATATAGCGTGTGGATGAACATGACTGCGAATGCGAGTGAGTGCAGGTAGATGGGTATGTGATATAAATGTAAAGAACTATTAGGATTTATTTAAATCAACAGATTCAGGGGTGGCGCGAGCGAGGAAGGTTGGGAAGGGTACCCCATGCTTTTGAAAATTTTCGTTTTTTTGCTCAACGCTTACCTCAAAATTTAATTTTTTTTCACATTTTCCCCCATTTTTCGAAAGAACTCCACCCCCCCCCCCACCCCGCTGAACGTTTCTTCTTCACATTTTCTCCCATTTTTCAAAGGTACCCCCTCTGCTTTGACCTCTTCGCGCCGTTCCTGAACAGATTCATCTTGACTCATCCATGGAGAATAACATATAATACGTTCTGGTTTGAGCGCTTTAAAAAGTAGAACAATTCGGCTTGATCCCAAAATAACGTGAACCGATTCTATATACATATAACATTTGAATAGATGTATGAATTTGTCTACTGAAGTGGAAGAGAAAAACTTGTTAGTACAGTCTCTTTGGGGCTAAATTATGGCACTGTCATGGTTTCTTTATCTTAATCATACTCATACACAATATGTAAATTGTGAAATCTCTCCTAAAATTTTATTTCTTTTCCAAAACAACCGATCGGCAGAAAATAACTGTCTTTTTTTATTTCGAATAGATGCTCTTAGAGTGTTGCTACATTGGCTTGTTTTTTCCATTTTTTATATTTCGTTTTTTTCTTACCGTTGATTGAGCTGGTAAAAAAAATTGTTTTACAGAACACGAACAATATCTAAAAAAAAATAGTAGCAGACTATGATCTATCGCAATTAACTCACAAACATTGATATCTTTTTTCTAACTCAAAATTAGACCTATTCATATTCTTATAATAATGATCATATTGTGACTATGGCAAATCAATATATTTCTATCCATGATTCGTAAAATATTGAATGGAAATTTCTATTTTTCACAAAAATCAAACATTACACTATCGACGAGAGAAGATCACCAACTGTTCAATTGCTTTTGAGTCAAGACTATGTGCCTTGTGCAGACCCAGATGAACTATGAAAATCCTAAAAAGTGTTCGGGCGGCTAGCGTATTGCTACGAAGATACTGTATTTTTACAGTATGATTTTAAATAAATGTTGTGGTTCCTCTCAGGGACACCAGAGTGTGTGAGTGTGGGTGTGGATGTCGGTATTCGAACAGAGAATATGCAAGCCCACACGCACACCCTTAAGTTGTTAAAAACAATATGAAATGAATTAGTCAGAGTTGTAATATTTTTTATAAGTGATAGTTGCGCTCGCAAATTTGACTTTCATCAAACTCCTTACTTTGATAAATTACTTTTCTATGCAATTAATTCATTTATGCAGCTTTGTAAGCTGGAAAAAAAGCTCCTATTACTTCCATATACATCTTCATTTTTAATTTCTGTTATCTTAATCATTGTATCTATATGATATAAGCCACACTAAGGAGCAAATATAAGGATGTGAGATGTAAGTGGATATGAGGATTGGTCCTAAACATGACATTCCACGTCCACACCCGCTTAAAGTCTACGTTTGGAGATTCAAAATGAATCGAAGCACATGAAAAAACATCCCCAAACAGAGTGATAAACACAATTGCTGGAATCAATTTCGTACATCAGACTAGATATTACCGTGAAAATAAATTGGTAACGTGAGACTTTATTTTCTGAATGAATATAATGAACAATTCACTCAGATAATTTTCAAAGATTATTGATTTCGTCTGAAGAAAAGCGACTTATTAAATATTTTTTAGATGAGAGCTGAAATTCATCATGTGTTATCCGGCAGAGTGATGATGATAAGCGGTATTCTTAAATTAATGTTGGTAAAAAAGCCACTTAGATGAACTTCGAATTTAAGCTCATAATGTACGATTAGCGATTCTCCCAAATATTTTGAGAAAGAATTTATTGAGAGCGTTGGTGGAATCGTTTGAGATATATGAAATTGGAAGTTTTCTCGAAAATATTAGCTTTGAAATTGATTAAGTTCTTCCAAATTTTGGTTCAAAAGGTTGGAAATCTTTGTTCTTCTAGTGCCTACCTTCGAATATTGAGTAAGAGTCATCGAAACCCGTTGTATTAGTTCTTGTTTCGGATTGCATATATCGACTTCAAATGAAATAATTTTTCCAGCAACAGCTGGTCTATCCTGGAGAATGACATGAAGATGAACGTCTTTTCGATTCTTCTCTTGTACTTCCAATTCTGTTACATTTACCAGGAATGATCTGTGTTTAACAACAGTAGGTACTATTTTTCTAATGTTTCATCTGTACCATTCGGGTCTGACAAGTATGATATGAAGGAAATAATGAATGTATGGCTCATCTGGGTCATTCTGTTTGATTGATGGCGGTAAAGACCGATTAAGAAAGAAACGAAATGGCCATTTATGATTTCCATATGTTAAAAGAAAAGTGTTCTGATTACTAACAGAATCTAGATTGAGTCTTTGTTTGAAAAATATGTCTTTGTGTGTACTCCTGGATCCATCATTCTTTCTTATTGTATAAACAAATTTACCAATCAGTTCTGCATCGAGACTCTTCAATTTTAATGCTTGATAATCGAAATCGATGAATTCGACTTTCCCTGACACGAACTCACCAGTCCAAAACAATGACTCATTTTTCTTATCGAATTGACAAATGATATTCGATTCTAATTCACCGCTACTTGAACTTATTAATATTAAGGTCAGAAATAAATATTGATGGGCAGTGTATAACCGATTGGAATAAAAGCAAGACATGCAATACAAAATTCTTCATCGTTTGTTCTTGCTGCATAGCGAAAAGCCAACAGGAAAATGGTAAATTAATTCTGTGAATAGATTGAAATAGTGATAAGAAAAGGTTACGTAGCACGGTATTGAGAAAAAAAGTTTGTTAGCGCAGCTCCTTTGGGGCTGAAATGTGGAACTCACATATTCTATATAGCCTCATTAAATTAACACAAAAAACGTATAATGAAAAATCTCTCGTAAACTATAATTGCTTTGCAGGATAATTAATCACTGCAGTGAAAAATTCTCCAATTTCTGCATTTCGAACAAAATTTTTTTTCTACGGGCGCCTAATTTTTCATTTTCATTGTTGCTATTCGCTCATTATTTTTCGTTTTTCTTAATTTATCATTCTTATTATTATTATCGTTGAATTGATTGACAAATAAGTGTGTTTTACAAATCTATAATATCTACAGCAGATCTTACACACTATCATATATATATTAATCAAGTCGCAAATAATGATGCTCATTATTTCATAGGCGGCAGAGCCTGTAGGCTCGTTAGGCTTGAGCCTTACCTGAATTCAGGCTCTGAAATTTGTTCACTGTCGAATTCGATTCTGTTCGATCAAGCGAACTTTATTTTAGTGCCGACAGTAGACCTTTTTGTGTGATTATCTCTACATTGTGATAAAAAAAACAATAAATACGACGGAAATGAAAGCCATGTATCATATCGTCATAGTCCTTAGTAATATCATTGATATTGTTTACACTAAGTGGTATGCAAGCTAGACCAATCATAGAACTCTGTGCTCAAAAGGCAATAAAATCAGCTACGTTCGAACACTTCTCTTTTATAATATCAATATTTTAGATAATAATCAGTTTATGGCATCGAAACGATCGACAAGTTCAATTCTTGATTTTTTTTCAAGAAAAATCAAAAGCTCAAACATCATCTCTTTCAACAGAAGAAATTCCTTTAGTGGATTTTACTAATCTTCCAAAAAGTTCACGAGATGAAAATACTGAAATATCTTCTGCAACTAAAATTTCTCCTCTGATTGAAACATGAAATTTATCAAATCTCGATAATGTCTCAGAAAATGATCTTGAACATGAAAATCAGGATGAAATTTTTGAGTTCTAATGTATCATCAAATACGGATAATCCGATAGAAGATTTGACAGATAAATCTATTCTATCTCGACAAAGGCGACCACGACCACCAAAACGTTATGATTCGAAATTCAAGACTACCCGATTTTACTACTTGTGAAGAGTTTTATCATCAACAATATATTGAAGCACTTGATTTTGTTCTTAATATGTTGCATGTTCGTTTTACTCAAAGCAATTTTAAATTGTAATATGATGTTGAGAAATTTATTCTTAATGTATGTAATAATCCAGTTGATGATACATATGATCTTATGCGAGAGATAATGGAAGTTTGTGATGGTGACATAGATGTTCAAAGATTGAAAGCTGAAGTACACATGATTTACGATTTTTTAAAATCTGTAATTAACACGAATCAGATGAAAATAAAACAAATTACAAAGATTTTGACTATTTGTGAAATTTTAAATTCGTGTGATGTTGGTAAACAAATGTTCAGCGAATTTAATAAATTGATTAAACTTTATTTAACTCTTCTTGTTACTACAGCAACTGCTGAACGTGCATTTAGCACATTAAATCGATTGAAAATCATGCTTCAAAATTGTATGACACAGGCACGACTTAATCATTGTGTATTAACATATATTTATAAAAAAAAAAAGGTTGATGAAATTGATCCATATCAAATAATGCCAACGTTTATAGCGTCGAATAGCAAAAGATAAGGTTTTTTTGGATTAATAGTTTAATTTGAAATAAATGATTGTTTTTGCTACGAAATTTTTATACGTGGTAAAGATTCACAAATTCTTGCGATAAAGAATAGAGAGAAGTAGCACAGCATTTTTCACAATATCAAAATAATTAAATAATCTAAAACAATTTATTACCTGAACTTATTTTAGTCTATGTCGAGGTAATATGTAAAAGTTTTATAGAGTAACCAATAGCCTTATAGTGAGCCTTACCTAATTTGAAAATGTTCCGCCGCCCCTGCATTATTTTTCAAAATTATAACTTGATCAATTTTCCAAAACAGCTCTAGGAAATCTAACATTTTTTATTCTGAATTGCTAAGGTCTGTAATGGGGGGGAGGGGTGGGGGGGGGATGTCTGTCTGTAATGTTCTCTTCCGTTGCTATGGTCTGTAATGGTCTGTAAGAAGAAGGGGAGCGGGGGGAGCCGCAAAAACTCGAAAGTAAAACTTACACTCACTATTTTCTTCGAAAATATATGTGAGTTCCACAAAAATTGATGACTCATGCATATACCCAATCCGCATCTACATCGTACTATTGAGAAATCACGTCGTAAGCACTTACATTTTATTTATGCTCGTTTCTTCAATACAGCCTTGACTATGGTCTTTATTTTAGCACCAAAGAAATAGAAAAAATTTACGATACACATTTGCATAAAGATTGTTTTTTCTATTTAACACAACAATGTAAAAGAGAATATAAAATATGAAAAGTTTTTCGTGAAGGAAAGGTCAGTATTATTAAAAATGTAAATATGCACATTGATTGAGAACAAAACATGAATTCATATTGAAATTATTAAAGTTGATAGATGTACTACGAGACGTATGATTTTTGCGAATAATGCATTTTCTGTCAATTTACTATATCAAATGGAACATTCAAGCGTGAACTTGATTCTCAAATATCAAAAATAAAAATAATACATGTAAAAATATTATTCTCTGCTTGAAATCATTCACAAAAAATGAAGTAGTTTTACAATAATAAATAAATTGTTTTAGATAGTTTGCAACCAGAAAAGACAATCCTTGCAAAGGATATAGGTAACACAGGAGAATGGAGTATGGAAATTGCTTAAGTAACATCCGACGGCCATTCCTGTATTGCTTGTGGATGTTTTGTTCTTTCATAGACACATCCCACACTTTTTTCTCTAATTTTGTTTTTTCTAGATAGTTACTTGAAAAAATAGCGTCCATCTACTTTATTTTTTGGCTCTCTATTAGATGTAAATTATCAGATACAGACAGCCAGCATACGATTAACTTAAACTTTTGATATATTTCATATAGAAACTTAATTAAATAAAAATGGTACATAAATGTCATAAAGAATTATTCATGTTAGGTACATTATCCATTATTTGCTGATACTATGGCTTATCCCTTAGCAGATAGACACTATCGAATATCGTATTTGAATAAACTTCAATAAGCGAAGAGCGTATGATTTTTGTGTACATCGAAAATATTTGTAGTCGATGAAAATGGTTTAATCTCGATCGATAATAAGTGATGATTCCAATTAATCATCATATTACCTTCAAGTACTATTTGCATTTTTGATTGATGATGCTCTTGAATCACTTATGTTTACGATTATCATATACTTCGAAAATCCATTAGTGTGTTAGAGAATCAGGTTTATACTTAAGTTTACCAATGATATTCTTTTCGAGATAAACAATTAATTCAATCGATTAGCCATAATGAACTATTGAATTTGAGAAACTTAAACAAATAGCAGCATGTACAAGAAGTTATAGCATGATTATATACCTCGCTAATATTATGAATGGTAATAGAAAAATGAAAGAGACTATAGCAAACATAAAAATTCAATATTGACTTACCGCCTCGACTAACAGTATTATTAATTTCTTTTTGAGTGGCTCTTATTTTCATTCATCCTTGATTATATTTTTCAACTATGTGATAAAAATAATAATTATTCATCATATTATTATGATGGTTTGAATCGAATTGATAGTTTGCTATTATTTATCTCTGATTGTTGATTGTATACGCATGATGATCGAGAGTTAGCCTTTCATTATCGAATACGCAACACTTTCGTTATCTCTCTTGCTTAACTATATATCATTGATTAGCTGACCCTTTACTCTGATAGTATCCAGACATGTGGGTTTGGTTATTAACCTTTGTTCAAACTGATACTCACCCCCATCATACCCGCATTATTGAAAAACAATGTATTAACTATCTAGTACTATCAGATTATGCACGATTGTCAATTAGAGTAATGTATCGTCAATTACAATACCTTGAACTACACGAACGAGAAAGTGAACGATTTAGAAGATATTTGTAATACCGATGAGAAAGAGTATTGAGTAATGATTGACTTGACTTTAATGTTGTCGATGGACTATCAACTGCTTTCTTTAGTTGCACTATTGAAACTTATGCATTCGTTTTTTCAATTTCAGACACTGCTAATGCATGTTTAATACGCGATACTTCAATGTAGCGATCAAAGAGATTTACATCTTCAAAAGCTGAAATAACAATTCTGAACAATCCAGTAATGAATAACAGAATAGAGCCACAAATAGGCATCGGATTACTTGCTGCCATTGTAAATCCTATTTTGATAGTTAGCACTTCGACAATGGTGCTTATAAAACCTATGATGAAACCTAAAATGAAAATCTTCACTTGATTGTAGATATGTCGTATCGAAGTTACACCGGTCGACGAAGTTACTTTTAATCCATTTCCCAATAAATAATTTACTTCACTGAATATCCTACTGCTGAATAGGGTGTGGATGTGAGTGTAGGTGTTGGTGTTCATTCTGTACCCACACCCACACCTGAAATACATACATAGAAATATTATTCATCTCTCTAACACATGATTGTTTCAAAATTGCTTTATTGTTCTTGTTTGTTTTCTTTGTTCGTACCGATTCTTTTGGTTCATGCTTTTCTTCTTTCTTTATTTATTACATTTTCTTTTTTTTCTCATTCAATTTTACATTCAATGCACAATTAGTATGTAAGGTGCTAGAACTACTGCTGATAGATCTTTTATTTTGTATGATTTTATCAATATTTTTTAACCCAAACGTTGTACAAAATTTAGGCTGTAATAGATATGTTTATTGACATATTTCATAGAAAATTAAAAGTCATTCCATATCATTTTGCATCAGCTACATCAGTTTGATGTTGATGTTTAAAAATAATGTCTGCATGTAATCTGCGATTTTCATATATGACTTTGATGGTTTCTACTTCGACATGATTAACAACGTCTTGATGAACATGTATTCATTTTTTAGGGATATTAATATCTTGAAGATATGTTTGATACACCTTTCGTATTTTAAATACAATCTATCTAAGTTCTTCTTGGTAGCTACCAGAAACTTGATTTGTTTCCACTAATACAATAAGTAAGCAGCTTTCGCATGACGAAAAATGAAAACTTTAATCTACTTTCATTCCATACTTATAAATAATACAATGTCATTCTGCTACACAGAATGAATAATTATTTAACTGTTTGCCAATGAAAAGTATGCATTGTGTGATTCTATTATTTGAGTACAATGAAAAAAATCCTCAGAGAAATCTTCATTTTTCACATTAATGAATTGAAGACGATTGAA